TCTGGAAATTTTCAGGTTTATAGATTTTGCAGAAAAAATTCCCCCTAAAAGGGTTACTCCTAAAAAAGCAACTAAAATAACTTTTTTAATATTGCAAAGGTTATGCAAGGCTCCACTACATGTTTATATTACAGAGGGTATATGAATCCCACTTGAATGAAAGAAGAGGAATTACATTTACAGGTGAGGCCAACTGTTCTGCAGTTGTTAATGTGAGAGTGGAAAAGGTAAGACTTCTCTAGTGTGTCTCTTACATTACCATCCCAAATGTTTCTCCCTTTGGCAGGCAGATTCTAAGCACTAGAAAAGTCTTATTTATTCACAAAGTCATCTTTACTTGTATCTACCCTAGCCAATTTTTCTCTTCTCTTCTCTTAAGTCTACCTCAGAGCTTAGTATTTAGTAATTTTCTGATTATTTTATGGGTTCTTGTCTCATGAACAAAAAGCTTTATTTATTTATTTTTTTTGAGACAGCTTCACTACGCAGTTCAGGATGGCCTCAAACTCACAGTGATTCTCTCATCTCAGCCTCCCAAGTGCTGGGATTACAGGCATACACTACCACATTTGGCTTGAATAAAATTTCTTAAATGCAGAGAGGCTCTTTTGAATTCAACTTTATGTTAATATGCACTTGCATGTTGTTTTCCTTGAATTTTTAAAAAGATTTATCTTCATAAATATTAATTATATTCCAATTAAATTCACAGTATTTCTAATCCTCAGAGGAAAAGTTTTAGTGCTTCCTAGTCTTAGAAAAATAAGACAAATTTCCAATTAAAGAATACAAATTCTCTTCAAAAAGATGAGAGTCTTACAATACTCTGCAATGGACACTTTTACTATCTTGTATTTTCCTCTAGTTTTTTCCTACTTTTTAACTAGTTTATATTGTTCCTGTTTGTAATTCCTTTATTGATTGCATATTGTGAATATCTTTTCATATTCTAAATAATCTCCTTCAAACATCATTATCTTAAATAACCCCTTGTGGCTGGCTTAGAGATTTCCTGTTATTTGCTAATATTCCACAAAATTCTAGCTAATGTTTTGTTCTTATATCTTTTAATATTTATTGCCAAGCTGCCCTCCTGAAAAAGATTAAAAGTTTATCCACCTCAAACCTGTTTCTTCTCATTCTTGCCAATAATGAATGGGACTATGTTTAAAGATTAGAGGTTATTTGTGTGTTTTTCTAGTGATTATAGATGGAGCTACAGACACAGTAGACACTAAAATAATTTTGATAAGTGAATTAATAAGTGTTTACAAAACATATGACTATAAAGTTTTTCAAATAATTATTCATTCACTCAGTGTATTTATCCCACATATGATAACCTTTGATCTACCTACTAAAAATGAATATGGCATTTAGAAACAACACTTTATATATAGTGGAAAAAAATTAAAAACTTGATAACTGATACTAAATATAGTATATATACAACACAATAATAATGTATACAGAATGTAATGTGTGTAAAACCAAAGTTGTCCTAGATTCCTAAGAAATCTTTTGGGAACAAGCAATTTGTCTCATTTTTCTAAGACTAGGAAGCACTAAAACTTTTCTTCTGAGGATTAAGAATACTGTGAATTTAAGAATAGAAAACCTCCTATCTATTAGTTACGACAGTCTTATTTCTGTGAGTCTCTTCAGAATCAGAGGAATTATGCCATACAGAATGTCAAAACCTGGTGTTAATGTCCATATTCCCAGAGATTTTCTTTAATATGGAGAAATAAAAACAACACTAAAGTTTCTAGAGAGAGTTTTAATGTTTCTGTATATTTTGAAAGTTTACTTTAAGTACAGTTACCTCAGGTCTCAGATGACTCAATAAATATCATATTTTGTTAGGTGATTTAATTTTATAAGTCTTTTGTTCCACAGTCAGAAAGAGCACACGAAGATAACTGTCCCACCTTTCCAATATATAAATCTTTTCACCTTATATAAGGTAGTAATCATTAAAAATTAGCATAGTCTTAAACTGGAAATGTCATTTAAAAGGATGTATTGCATAGTGCTTTTATATGTTCCCCATGATAGGCAGAAGGTGCTAGAATGCGTTGGTAGCTCACCAAACAATATGTCATAGAAAGAGAATGTGACTAGCTAGGCTCAGAAGATATGGATTCTAGCCTAATACCTGCCAGTAGCAGCTACTTACTAATTTTAGTCAATACATTTCATGTCTTGGAGCTACAGTTTTCTCTGTTGTAAACAAAAACCTGGCTTTGATCAGCATTTCCCAGAGTATGCTCTGTGGAGCCCAGGTCTTTTGAGCTCTTTCCCTGGAAAAGGGCTTTATGGCCTAGTATCTACCTCAGAACCTCAGGCTACATCAAAACACCACTTTTTTTTTTTTTTTTTTTTTTTTTTGGAGACAGGGTCTCACTACACAGTGCAGGCTGAAGGCCACTTTGTAGCCCAGGCTGGTCTTGAACTTGCAATGATTCTCCTGCCTCAGCCTCCCAAGTGCTAGGATTACAGGTATGCGCCAGCTCCAGCTTCAAACACTTTTTTTTTTTAGAAACCCATTGAAATTTGCTTTTCTACTTCTTTGATTAGAGTAGCTTTAAGTTCAGTCCTTTCAGAGAAAATCACCACCATTTGTTCTCCTAAACCAGAATCCTGAGGGTCACCCTAGATGTTCCCCACTCAGGCACTGCCTCTGAGCTGTCACCATCAGATACTGTAGTTCACCCCACCCTATCTCATGGACTCTTATTTCTGTGGACTTGCAGCTCATCTCTGAGTAATTGTTGTCACTCCCTCAGTTTCTCCATTTTTCACTGTGCTCTCCTTGGACTCCAGAAACAAATCCAGTTGTTCCAGGGGTTAAATACATCAGAATTTATTATTTATTACATTTCCTAGAGTATTAAGTTCAAAGTCCTTGATTTAGCACCAGCCCCTTATCAACAAGACCTTTCCTAACTTCCCTTCTTTATGCTTGTCTTAACAAAATGGAATGGCTTGCAAGCCCTGGTGCTGTTGAGTGCTTCCACATCTGCACAGATATTGTTGCCTTTGTCTGGAGTGATTGTTTCCTCCTCCTCCAAGGGTTTAGCTCCTGTCACTCAACATGCAGTTTGTTTCCTCCCTGGTTAGGCTTTCCGGACAGCAGCAGTGATTTCCAGTACTTCCTTTCTCCAACAGGCTCTATGTTTCTTTGAGGGCAGGGTGCATTGTGCCATGTCTTTTTTCTTTGTATTCCTGGGCCTTTGTTGGAGCTCAATCAATTCTTAATAAATGAAGGAGCAATTTTAGTGTAATGGATTGAGAAGAACCCACTTACTCCTTTCAATGGCTGAAAGTGACAGTTTTCTAATTTAGCCTTGACCAACCTAACCGAGCAAGAATGTTGGCCAAGACCTTCTAAAAACCACTCAATGATCTGTTTTGTAGAGGTTTCATGAAGTATCTTCCCAGTAAAGGTTATTATCACCCAGTCTGGTAATAACATTTGATAGCAATAGGTTTTTATTAGGTTTGGGCCCTGCATATAATTTAATCTCAACAAACCAAGTTTCCAGGGAAATGAGGTGAGCCATTATAGACAATTTGTATGAAATTATCAATGAAAACATTTAAAGCTTTTATTAATACAAAAGTACTTATTGTGCAAACTACTATACTAGATATTGTGAAAGCCACACAGGGGTAAATTACATTCATTTAGGGAGATATATAACTTACTGAAATAATGGTAATAGAGGTAATAAATGATGAGATCTTCAAGAAAAGAAGGCTGCAGGAATTGGTCCACACCACTATTGTTATTTATAAGATATATTACTTTATGACAAGTTATTGAAACACTACCAACCTTTAAAAAAAAACCTAGTTGTTTACCAAACTGCAGTTATCTCAAGTGTGAGATATATCCTATGGTTCTAAATAACAACTTGAATCAGATTATACAAAAAAAGCCTGAAACCACTAGAAAGTCCTCGAGGATTATCAGGAAGTAAAAATTCAATTAACCACGCCAGTATTTGCCCCAGGACAGAGAAATGAATACTCGGCTTCTCAGCAAGGGAGGCAGGATTTCAAAATATATTGTCAATTCTTTTATCTGTGAAAATTTAAGATTCAGAAACTTTTAGTTACCAGACAGGAAGACTGAAAAAGAATGTCAAGTGTTCACTGCAACCAATCTCAGGTTACACTATTAAGTCTTTGGTCACTTTAATGCTCTCTACAAAGTTACTTCCTATGTAGACAAGCAAAAATTAATTTCATTCCAGCTTTTCCCCTTCTTTGATCATCTTCACACAAAGGTCAAAGCAAAAACATAAAGTGCAATTACAAACATCTGCCTAAATCCACCCCACACCAGAGGAAGCAGTTCCTTGAGTAAGCTGAGGCTTGATGATAGGCAATTTCCACAAGGGAGGATAGAAATCAGATTCCGAGATGGCCAGAGTTCAAAGCTAAAGCCTAACCAAATAATCAAAAGGTCTAATTTCTAAAGCTTCCCGATGCACCGTGTGACAGCAGTTTTGGCTGAAACGAGATTTCCTCAGGAAGGTGCTCACGGCTTCCAACCGCGGTGAGGAGCCGACGCAGAAGGCCCACGCAGGAGGCTGCCCCGTAGGGTGTGGCCCGAGGCCCACACTGGGATGAAGGCGGCAGCGGGCTTCCCCTCCACACTCATTCATTCCCACTCACCGCCCCGCAGCCGCTGGCAGGGAGGCGGGGCCGGGAGCGCCGGGCTGGGCGCGGTCGGCGGCAGGGCGGGGCGGGGCGGGGGAGTGGGCGGGGCCGGGCGGCCGCGCCGGAAGTGAGGGTGGGCGGCCCGGCGGGCGCGCGGCGGCAGCGGCCGGGAGTCTGTCCGCGCTGCGGCCGCCCGGCCTCGGCCCCGCCCTCTGCGTCTTCGCGGGACACGGCGCTCCGGGCGCCGCCGTCGCCGCTGCGGGGCGCTGCGTCCGCCCCGCCCCGCGCCCCCGGCCAGTCAGTCAGGCAGCCAGTCAGTCAGTCAGTTGGTCAGCCAGGCAGCCAGTCCGGCGGCCAGTCAGCCAGTCCACAATTCTCTCAGTCTGTCAGCCGGTCAGGAGCGACTGGCGCTCGCCGCGGGCCGGGACAGAAACGCCGCGCCCGGGTAGGAGGTGGAGGCGACGGCAGCTGGGGCCGCCAGAGGACTGAGCAGCCGCCGCGGTGAGCGTTAGTCTCGCTGCGGGTGGTGGAGCCGGGCGGGCTTGGGGCCTCAGGGCGCCTCCGCCTTCATCTTCGCGGCGCGCTCCCGGCCCGGGCGGGGTCGGGTCGGGGTCAGGGTCGGGGTCGGCGGGGCCTGGGAGACAAAGCGCGCGCGGGGAGGTGGGGGCCGAGGCCGCGGAGAGGCGCCGGACGGCGCGGGTGCGGTTCCCGAGTTCGGGGTCGAGATTCGGGGAGGCGCGCGCGATAGCGGGCACGCGCTCAGGTCCCGCGCCGGGTAGGCCGAGGGGTCGCCGGAGCTCAGCTTCCCGCCGGAAATCCAAACTGCAGCTCGGGGTGGAGCGGAGCGTGAGGCGGCGGCGGAGATGCCTTCGTGCGAAGAGCAAGCTGGAAAATGCGCTGCTCTGATTCGGGCGGTGTCTTCGGGAGACCCCGCAGTGAGCGCTGGCGGCTGCACCGCCTGGCAGCCCCGGAGCGTGGAGACGTGGCTGGGCGCGGAGCACGAGCTCCTGGTGGCGGCGTGTGCTGCATTTCGAGGCAGCTGGACAGATCTGGGCGCATGGATGGGTGTCACTGAGCCTCCGGGAAAGGCTGGTGCGTGCGGCATTGCTCATGCGGCTGTGGGAAGCTGCCTGTGTCTGCGGAGCCCAGTGGAGAGGAAAGGAATGGAAAGGTAGGGGCTGGGGGGAGGCACAGTCATCGGGTAAAGAAAGGATAGCATTGAGTCCACAAGGTAAACACCTGTGCAGTACCTCCTGCTTCCTCCTGTCGGGCAGCGTGGGGCCCCAGAGTGAAGAAGATCTGCAACAGGGGGAGCCCTTTGGTACAGGGAAATCCACCGGCGTTGCCTGTTCCCTGGCATTGGCTTCCAGTGTGAAAGTGGAGAACATATTGAACGCTCTACTTGCCCGGGAGGAAACAGGAATGCCTCCACCTGTTTACCGCCCAGCAGGTTAAGTGAGATAATGTGTGCAAAACTGGTAATTTTTACCTAGCGCTGAAGTGTTTAACAAATGTTAATTCTTTTTCGACTGCTGTCTGGAGATTTTTTTTTTTTTTTTTTGGAGGGCTGGTGGATAAGAAATGGATATAGATCACTGTAATGTAGTGCGTTATGTAACAAAATGTTGAACTAGAGGCGTAGAATGAGCTGCTGAAGAAGAGATTATTGATTCTAGCTTGAGGGAATTGGAAAATCCCTGGAATGGGTGGCATTTGAGTGGAACCTTAAAGGATGGGTAGGCTTTCAACAAATGCAGATAGAGGATAGCAGACATTCCACAAGGAGGTTATTCTGTCATTTGAGAGCTGAAGTGAGTGGATCTTTGAAGGAAGGGCAAAACATAGACAACCCAAAGAGTTTTGGCTCTTACTGAATCTGACCTTAAGATTGCCTGTTATTTTGTCTTTTGTGTCGTCAGTTTCCTAGAAACCAGGGGTTTTTTTTTTCTTTTTTATCGGTACCAGGGATCGAACTCATGATCACCTGCTTGCAAGACTGGTGCTTATGCCGCTGAGCTAAATCTCCAGCCCCTAGAAATCAGTTTTAACCCTGCTTAACCAACTGCAGAAATGTCTGAATAGCTTAACCCATAATTTTTTGCATTAGACATTTTGTGTCACTGGGACTCTGCTCTCATGACTTTACTTATGTTGGTTTAGAAGTAGTTAAATGGCAACATTAGTGTTAATCCCAAACTCTTACTTAGGAAAATTAGTGTTAATGACATAAGAATTGTGACCACAAGCAAATAACTTGCACTCTTAATTCATTTATCTTTAAATGAAGGTTTGGATTAAATCACTGGTTTTCAAACTATGTTTCACCAGTTTTAAGAATTTTGGGGAGGCGCTTCTGAGGTTCTGCAGATGTTTGATTTAAATTTCATTTAAGGATTGGAAGTGTTTCTTAGTGGTAGAACACTTAAACTCACAAGGTCCTAGGTTTGATTTCTGGCACCACACATACAAAGTCAAATTAAAATGTATTTTAACCCTATAATAACAAAGTCACTACTAAATGGTATGCACAATCTTAAACACTTGGTATGTATTGATTTAGTTAATTCTCACCAAAACCCTATGGAATAGGTTCTATTATTACGAGAGGAAATAAGTGCAGACAGTAAGTTACTTGCCCAAAGATTATAGAGCTGTGAGGTGCAGAGCTGTTTGAAACTAGATAAGCTAATTCTAAAGCTTGTATGGTATTCTTACTTACTTTCCTGTGCTGCCGCCGTAGTAAAATAGACAATGCACACTCTTAAAAATTTGTGGCAAAGTAGATATAACAAAATTTATCATTTTAACCAGGTAATTTTTTCAGTGGCATTAAGTACATTCATATTGTTATGCAACTGTTACAGTATCTCCACAACTTTTATTATTCGAAACTAATTTTGCCCACTACATACCCTACATCTCCTAGTAACAAGTTTTCTGCCTTATATCTTGAGTTTGACTACTCTGGGTACTCCCCATAGGTTGAATCATAATTTGTTCTGTTGACTGGTTTATGTCATATAACAATGTCTGAAACATATTTGCATATTACAGCATGTATCAGAATTTCATTTTAAAGGCTGAACAATAGTCCATATATATATATATATGCACACACATTTATAGACATGAATTTTTCCAGCTTTCAGCTATTGTAATGTTTCCATGAACATTAAGTGTACAGCTGGCTGTTTGATTTGCTGCTTTTAGTTCTCTGAGATACATACAGAATCTGCCAAAAAAAATGCATAAACACTTCAGCAATTCACAGTACTAATGCATGGAAACTAATTGGCCACCACTTTGAGCACCTCTTATAATTTTAGAGCCCAAAAGTAATTTGTATTAATCTCATGATGTCTCAATATGTTTAGTACTAAAGTATTCATGCAAATTTTTCTTTTTTAGAGTTACACATTATTTTTGTGGGCTCTATATACCTAGAAGTAGAACTGTAAAACATGATGATTTGTATTTGTTTTGTGAAACTGTCATATTTTTCATAACAGCAGTGTAATTTATCATTCCCATTACCAGTACAGAAAGGTTCCAGTTTATCCTTCCAATACTTACTTTCTGTATTTTTAAATTTGTTTTGTGGTGTGAGGATTCAAGCCTGGGACTTTTTCATATTAGGCAAGCATTCTGTCACTTAACTACATCCCTAGAACTTGTGAGATATATGTGTATTTGTGTATACACATATGTGTATACATAGGTATATTGGTTATAGCCATCTTCATGGGTGTGAAAAAGTGTCTCATTGTGGTTTTGATTTGGGTTTTCCTGTGCTTAGTGATTTGAGCATCTTTTCATGAACTTATTGGCCATTTGCATTTCTTGGAGAAAGGTCCATTCAGATCCTTTACCCATTTTTTACTTTTGATTTTTTGTTCATTCGTTTGTTTTTGAGACAGGGTCACACTGTGTTGTTCCTGCTGGCTGTGAATTTACTATGTAATCCAGGCTGCCTCAGAACTCTCATGGCAATCTTCCTTTCTCAGTCTCCTCCAAGTGATGGGATTACAGGCATACACCACCATGCCTGACTCTTTACCCATTTTTAAATTGTGCTGTTTGCTTCCTGTTGAGTTGTAGAAATTTTTCTTTTTTAAAATATATTCTGAACATTAACAGCTTATCAAATACATAATTTGTCAGAGTCTCCCACTCTGTGATTGTGTTTTCACCCTTTATTTTTATTTTTTATTTTATTTATTGTGTGTGCAGTGCTAGAAATCAAACTCAGGACTTCACATGTGATAGGCAAGGCTCTATCTATGAGCTGCATCGCCGGCCCTAAATTTTTATTTTTACTTTGATTAGTATATATTTGTAGTGAGTAATGATTGCATTCATCATTGGGAATTGGTACATAAAGTGTGAGTAAGGCATCTTCTTTTTTACGCCTCCCTCCCTTGATTGTATCCTTTAATGCATAAAACTTTAATTTTGGTGAAGTCCAATTTCTTTTTTGTTGCCTGTGCTTTTAGTACTGTGTCTTAAGAAATAATGGCTAAATCAAGCTGTGAAGATTTTTCCTATACATTTTTTCAAGGACTTTTTGTAGTTTTTGCCCTCATTTTGAAATAACTTTTGAGTATATGTTAAAGTTCCAACTTCATCCTTTTGCATATGAGTGTCCAGTTTCCCCAGCACCATTTGTTGAGGAGACTGTCCTTTCCCCACTGTATGGTCTTAGCACATTTGCTTACTCATATGTGTGTATATATATTTAAAAATTTCAACACACTGAAAACTGCTACAGGGTTAATTTGGGGCTTGGGGCTTTAGCTTCTCTCACTATCTCTGTGCTTACTTCCTTTGAAGGAAAGCCAAATTCAATATTGTGCAGACCTGTTCATGTACATTTGCCTCAGTAGTTGTGTAATTATGGTATGTGCACTATGTTCAGTTAAGCAAGACAGAGGCATATTTTGGGGGGGAGGGGTGTGCGCATCCTGTGTAAGTCACTGTTTTGTGAAAACATGTAACAGTAAATGATAATGTCATAAACGTTTTTGTGGTGTATGGTTCATTATTTGCTGTGCTATAAGTATTGGACTGTAAATACTGTTATTGAGTCAGTTTTGAAAATATTTTTTTGAACTATTGGATCAGTATACTTGAAGAATATCCTGAGACCTAAGAGTGAACCATTAAAAACTGCTACCAAAGCAAAACCAAAACCTTCTGCTGTTTATTTGGATGAAATTTTATAAAATAAACATGTTCCTTAGGCAGTCATAAGACTACAATATGCTTAATTCACAATTTCTCTTCTTGACTTTATAATAATATAGTATATTTAAACATAAAAACATTAGCACTTTAGTTTTATATGTTGGGATATACTATAGTTCTGAAATATTAGAAGACTCCTAGATTTGTCTCTAAAGCTTTCTTTTCTGAATTTCTTATATTTTAATATATTCGTTACACTTCAAGGACAATGTTTTGAACATTTCTCATGGTTTAGAAATTGTCATAAAAATGTACTAGTGTTGCAAATGAGATAAACATAGTTTCTCTGCTTTAGACAAGCTAGACAGAGAAAGCAAAGAAATAGCTATTCTTCAAAATGAAGAGGATGCCACTTACGTACAAGATAAAGTCAGTAGGGAATGAAATTGAGAAAGCTATGTCTACAAAGACACAGAAGAGATTAAGAGGTGAAAACTTGTGAAGAGATTAGTTTTGGAAAACGGACAGTTAATTAGATGAAGAAAAAAGCTGGACTGGGAGAGCCATGATTGATGACTTACCATTATGTAACACTTAAAATTTAAGCCCCTAGTGAAGAGCAGTGATACTGATACGGGGGCATAAATGTAATTCCCAAACTGCTAGATGTTGGTTGTAGAGTCTGTGTTGCCCAAAATTAAAGAATGAATTGTAAGGAACAACAGAGGTTGAGAGTAGGAAAAATTTATTAAGAGAGAGAATGCCTGAGAGACAGGAAGGGACACAAAACTGGGCTGTCTCAGACCCCACTTCACAGAGGAATTTTCATAGAGCAAAATCAAGATTCCAAGTACAGCTGCTTTTAGGCAGTATTGATCCAATGAGGGAAGCAGATCATGTAGCAAGTATACATGGAGAGAT